TTTGGTCCTTCAGGTTTCATTTGATTTTCAATTTTTAGTAGGTTAACCAATGAATTGTTTAATTATCCGCCCAAAACAAACTCACCCCCCAAAAAGTGAATGTTGCCAAGCCCTCCCAGCGGCCATTTTTCAAATGACATTCCTCACCTTCCCCGTGCTCTTCTGACTAATTTTCAATCCCATTTTGGTCTGCTTTGCCCCAAGATGGGTATCCCTGAATCTAAAGAGATGATCCTGGGCCATACTGACAAAATCCCACCATTTCTTGGCCCAAACAGACACCTCTTTTCGAAACAATCTCTGGGGGTACTTTTTGTGCGCCTCCGCCTGGCGGAGAATTTTCCTTGAATTGGGACACTGCACCCTTTAGGGTAGCTGGCTCTTACCCGTAGGCGACCTCAAAGAGGACATCGAGTGAGGGGTCAGTCAAGCCACCCAGTTGACAAGGGAAAGAGCCATAAATTACACAGGCATTAAAGGCTACTGACAACAGACATAAAAGTATCTAAAACCAAAAGAAAAGGAAATCATTTTCAAGGAAATACTGGGGAGTCTAACATACACAGTGATATACACAAATGACACATACATTTAACTAGTAACCTGGACCTAAATAGGGCCAGGGTTACACATGGAAACAAGATAAATGTAGGGATTGGGTCCTGAGCTTGCTGATGCTAAAACAAAACATCATGAATATGGCGGGAATTAACAGAAACATTGTAAACACACTGATTACATTCAGCAATATTGAACAGACACTTGGAGACAGACGAGAGAACAGCATAATTACGCCGACAAGATAAGAAAGACCAACCCAGAGTTTCTAACCTACCAGGGTAACTCATCACACCATGCTTCTGGCCAAGAATAAAACAAGTCGCACGTTTTTTGAAAGTTCTCCAAGTTGTCAACCTGCTTTCTCAAGTTGTCTGAGGGAGCCAAGCAGGTACACCATACTCTGATATGGGAAGCACGAGAACTTCGGGAAGTTTTGCTGAAGTAGAAGAGTTGAAGGCAATGGTTTTGATGAGAGCAAGTGTGTGATTTGCAGAGGAAATTACAGACTTAACATGATCGTTCCAAGATAGCTGAGCATTCAGAGTGACTCCAAGATATTTGACCGATTGTACAGCTGTCAATGGGATACCTTAAAAAATTAAGAAGGGGGGGTGGATGTCGTTTACGGGACTCGGAGACGTGCATAAGCTTGCTAGCATTGTATGAAGGTCATACCGTTGGAAACACTCCAAACACTCAGATTTAAAAACTGGGGTATTGTTTGCAATTCCATGCATGAGGAGTTGATAGGCTGTTCGGCCGCGCAATTCTGTTCAGCTGTGGCGTAAACAACAACCCCCGCAGTGACAGTGTTGAGCCTAGCCATGTGCGCACATTCTATCTAGATTTTGTTTACTTTACTTTTGTTTTGTTTGTGTGATAGCGCCATCTGATGATAACGTTAGCCGCGTATGTGTTACTTGGCTGCGGCTGGGAACAACAGACAGATGTTTGAAAGCCCCAACTAGCGGCTTCGTCTGATTCCCATCTACATGTACGTGTAAATTGCAGCCGTAGCCAAGTAGATTGTATTTGCTATGCTTTCCAAATTCAACTCCGTCTCCGTCTAAGTTCGTCTCCAAAACCAATCCCCGATTGTTGACCTGAAGCGTTTAAATTAAAGTACTGTAATGTTTTACTCTTTTGCGTATTTTTTGATGTTCTGTGGTACTATTAGACTTACTATTGCGCTTATAACTTCAAAGTTGGGTAGTGACAAAAAAGTTGAAGCTTGAGATGGATCCGAAGTCGAGTATTGGAAAACGGCCGAAATATGGGACGCGAGACGGATATAGTACGATACCCAACCGAATTTCCATAAAAGCAGCATGCAGAGAAGTTAGGTACCAGTGCACTTTAGGGGCAAATGTAACATGGCGGGTGAGGGAAGTTCTACAACTGCTTCGCGATCGGAGAAATTGAAGGGTGTTCTGAATTGGATTTGGACCTACTTGTTGGCGATTTGGTTCTTCTTGGTTGTGTTTCTCATCTACTTTTTCCGGACTCCGTTGAAGCTCACTGAGAATATGAATTTAGGTGAGTAAGGGGGTTGGCTAGTCAGACGTGAACATGATGAACTTCAACCATGTCAACATTGTTGAACTTAACCAGTGAGTTAGGCATTATCAGGCCTAACAATAACATTCCCATGATTCCAATTTCCAAGCATGGTCACACATAGCGCAGGTTGGACGCCGTCTAGGCCTACATTGCATTGCGACTAACGTTCAGGGTATCCTCCAACTATGCGAAATTTTTTTTCAACAGTTTTTTCTCACATTTTCACCTCATAGGCCTACATGTACATGGCGGAGACAACCAAGACAACTCAAAACATCGTTCACATGTGCCTTGTATCCTGAATTCCATAATGGCATAGGCCTAACTGCAGTGTTGAAATTACTAAATATGCCTGCGGACAATGTATTTTGCAGGAAATTCTGCGAAACTCCACGCTTTCTGTCGCGATTCGTTAACCATCTACATGTAGTAGCACATGTATATATACTGATACATGTTCGCCTAGCACGCGTACGCGCACGCCGTTGGGTGTCAAAAAGTCGCAGATACGGGGCCATGTCTGAACGGGTTTCCAAAGATATGGCTAGGTCTATTGTCTGCGCGTTTCCACATATTTCTGATGTAGCGAAGACCTAGACCTAGCTCTAAACAACATGCATAACTGACAGAATGTCAGCCGAGCTTAGAAGCCATTTCGCGCATGTGCAAATGCGTACTACCACACGAACGTAGATCATTCATAAAGCCAGACGGAAAACGTGGAGTTTCACAGAATTTTCTGCAAAATACATTGTCCACAGGCGTATTTAGTAATTTCATCACAGTATCATCAGGTAAAAATGTGAGAAAAACTGTTGAAAAAAATTTGGCGGAATAGGAGGACCTTTATACCCTAGACGTTAGTCGCAATGCAATGTAGACGTCATCCAACCTGGGCTGGGTCACACTTAGACCCGTAAACAGGGCCCGACGAATACTCCTCCGTTTTATACTGGGCCCTGTCCCGATACATAGGGATTTCTTTTGAAAAAATTTCTCTGGGGTATCTGGGGGCGTCTGCGTGATTTTGTGAGCTGAAAGCGCAGTGGTATGTTCACTACGGTGTACTTACAGGGTGAACTTTCCACTAGGTTGCTAATTGCAGAAAACTCGCCTTTTCCTCGTTTGGAGGAAAAGCTGTTGCCTTTTTTTGCGCTTTTCCTATTTCGGACAAATTTTGCCCCACTTGCACAAAACTGACAGCTGTTTGGTCACTTTTGTGTCATGTCACAGAGAGAGAGCCGTGCTACCAATGATTTGCCACAAGCAGTATGTGACTGGATAGGAAACCAGCCAAGGGCATTGCATATTAGCTGCGACACAAAACAGCCGTAATTTTCCAAGAGTACTTAGATCGACAGGTACTCTTGCAGATCTGAACGAAACTCGTAGGCACTGAAGTCTGAGTGCAAACCAGACAGGCTCTCATACAGGGTACCATTACTTAACCATACAAAGAGTCTGTGTAATGTACACTTCGTCCGGGGTGGGAAAACTGGAAAAAGGGCAACATGGTTTCCTCCAAACGAGGAAATGGCAAGTTTTCTACAATTAGTGAACACACTGTACCAGTGCAATTTCAGCTCATAAAATGAACACAATTTTTTTGAAAGAAATCCCTCTGTATTCGGACAGGGCCCAGTATACGACGGAGGAGTATTTGTCGGGCCCTGTTTACGGATCTAGGTCACACTTAGCCCCATACTGGGGGCCAGTCTACTGGACTCCCTCCGTATCCTAGGCCGCACAGCGGTCCGTTCAAAAAGTGGGACTCAGCGAAAGTGCCTTCTATGAAACCCCTTTTGTGTGTATGAATCACTCACCCCATCAATTCTCTGATGTATTACTTTGGGCGATTTCCAATTCGTAGAAGTCCCTAAAATAGCAATTAACCACTTCCTGAACAGTAAGGCACTACTCTGCAATGGCATTTTGAAAAATGCCTGGCAATCGTACCAGAGAAAAGCTCTGTTTGCGCTTTCTTGATCAAATATCCTCTAAAAAGCCCTTAATAATATGCAACCTACATGTATATGAAATTACTGGGCTCGTGTGTATTTTGTAGAGCGTAACCTACATCATTGGTAAACAACGAGCTTTTTTCTACTTTACTGACCTATAAATCCCTAGACGATCCGCACACATCTACATAAGTCTGGTTCCCTAAACTCATATTTCCGTGACGTCTCTAGCCATTATCTTAATGAGAGTTGTCAGAATTATTGGATCTGTTATCCAAAGCATAAAAACTCGTTACGCTGCACCTGTTTCTGTCACGTGACGCACGGCCACAGAATGCCGATGTGTGCAGATCGTCGAGGGATTTGTAGGTCAAGATGGTAGAAAAAGCTATTTTTTGTGTTATACACACATGCCCGGTAGTTTTATATAGGTTACCTATATAGTATTATTATAGGCTTTTTTGGGAAGATTTTATCAAGAAAGCAGAAATGGAAATTTCCTCTGGAACAATTGAGGGCACTTTTCAAAATGCCGTTGCGTACAGAACCATCAAACATCAGGAATCAGTAAGGCCTACGGAGTAGTGCCTTACTGTTCCAGAAGTAGCCTACAGCTACCTGGAAATGGTATATTTGGGGACCCCCATATACATGTAATAGAAGTAGGCCTAGGTATGTGAAATGAAACTTTGAAGTGTGAGTAATGAAAGTAAATTACTTGTCATTGGAAAAAGCTTTGCAAATGGAATAAAATAATGCAAGAATCAGCTCAGTCTGATGTAATTAACGAAGTGATGAAATTTGGGGGAATGAAATTATACAATTTTCCCGTCTAAATGTCCTACTGTACACGTACATATTAAGGAAGCTGTGACCCAGTTGAAGTCTTTTTAGGACTGATCATTTCACAACTTATTAAATACCTGGAATATTAAGTAAAACTTTTTGGGGGATTTAGCATCAAACAAACCGATGAAAACAGCGACCTTGGCGAGGTGCATGTAGGCGTGTACCAACTAGTCAGAGGATCAGATAATCATTTCTTTGATTAGTACATACGCGTGCCCTGTTTGCAGTTGTTCTCATTGGTTGCCACGCGCCATTTTGTGAAACTCCTGGATGTCCGCGCTGTGCCATTAATTATTTTTAATTTCATTCATTGATATCAAAAAAATCTTATTACAAGAACAGGGCCATCCACCAATGAAAGATCAACTTACGTGAACAATGAAAATGAAGATCTTGTCAACGTGATTGTTATTACCTGTGTAACCGCTGGTTATTTTTCAGTAATTAACTGCAATACAATTAATGTTAATTACGGTAGACTAGTATGCCACTCACCCCCCCCAAAAAAAACAACTTGCAGGGCCAAACAAGTTACAAAAAGTGAAAATTTGTGCCATGAAGCATGGAATCCATTCAATTATAGAGTCGAAAAGGGAAGCCAGAAAAATCCATCTTCGTCTGCTTTGCGATTGGCTATTTCTTTGTACATGACAGGTATAGATTGGGCATAAGAACACTTTAAATGTTGGGCTACTTAAAACGTAGTTTTGGATTTGATTTGCAACCGATGTTGCCTATATTGAAATCACACTGTGCAACAACATTCCGCTAAAAATCACTTTTTGGTGGGGCGTACATGTACGAAATTTGTGCGATTCGTTAAATTTCTACAAAAAATTTCACAAATGTAGATTAATATATGTAACTTTAAAAATAATAGGGTTTTATTCTTAAACAAACTGGCCTATTTTCAGGTAAACTCTTGATAAAACCCGCGAGCTCAATCTACAGATGATGATTCAAAATGTCATACAAAAACAAGAGTGCCGTTGGTTTGTACAGCAATATATCACCAGTTGTTGATGTTGGTGTTGAAGACTGATTCCAAGACGCGACACGCAGAAAACACAGACATACTGTACATGTATGAACACATAGCCGGGCAGCTCCTATTCAAAACAATGGCGGGGTACCGTAGCCGAGACGGCTACCGACTAAATCCAAAAGCGTGGGCAAATTCACACCTCGGTATAGGGAATTTACTCACAGTTGAAAAATTTCAGCCATAAAATGTCATGAAGCCCAATTTCCCGATTGTGAAAAAACCCTCTGTTGAGTTAATCTGGCCCATCCTGATTCGAAACAGTGGGGTTGAAATATTTGAACAGAAGAAATAGCAGCACAAAAGAGCAAAAAGGGAGCGTCTTTTTAGAGCACATGTAAACAAATACATGCATTCCCAGTGCGTAATGTGCAATTTGCACAAAACACACTGCGATCCATCGTTTCGCCCACTGCTTGCCCACACTTTTTAAAATCATAGTTAGACTGGTGGTGGTCTACGTGTTTATATGTCTATGGCTGAAAACGACCAAATAGGGTGCCCTCTACGAGTTCCTATTTTACATACCGGTACCTACAATGTACTTGTACAGTTATAGAAAGGAGACACCTAATATTATATTTTAACTTTTGTAGTTATAAACCTTTTTGACATTTGCAATGCATTATGGGTTTGGATGACAAGCAAAATAATACATTTTGTGCACAACCCTATGGGTGAAGTGTACTTGCAAAACGTTGGGCCTAATCTGTTTCCATTTTATTTCATACTCCAGTTCAAGCCGTCCTCTTCTCACAGAGTGTTGCTTTATACATGTAGGCCTACTAGATTCTGAATGAAGATATGTAAAAACTTCAATGTTTAAAGCATGGCAGAAAAGACAAAAATGGGGAATCCCAACAGCACAAGTTTTTGTCATGGACTGGGCTTTGACTAAGATCGTGAATATTAATGCCCTAGTATTGGCCAATCAATATCACAACTTGTAGCTCATTTATCCCGCATGACCAATCACGTTATTTTCAGCCTACATGTACATGTAGAATGACTGGTGCCCTCAGAAAAAAAAAGAAAAGAAAATTAGGGTGATTTTTCCTCTTACAAACATCTGAAGCATTCTTTGTTATTTTGAAAATCTTCCTTGTATACTGTGCATGCATATG